AAAGTGGCTGGCGAACATCGGAAAAACGCGGGTGTATCGGCGTGTGCGTGTACGCATCACAGGGGGTACGCCATAAAGTGTATACCGGGTACAATTTGTTACGGGTGTCGGATCGGCTTGTGCATGTTGTGAGATCCCACATACGGTTTGTTCTGGGCATCGGCATGTGAATGTAGAGCGCTTGCACATGACAGCGAGTGTAGTTTGTCTGTTGTGAAACCACCCATCACAAGGGGGCGATTTGTTTCGACATGTGCCTATTCTGCGCTCACACATCACAGGGTGATTTGTTCCGGGCATCGGCACGTGGATGTGGTGCGATCACACATCGCAGGAGGGCTACGACTTGTCGCTGGCGTCCCCGTCTGCATGTGGTGAGGTCACACATCAAAAGGAGCACGTTTTGACATGTGCATCTGTTTGCACACGGAGTACGGTTTGTTACAGGCGGAGTATGACCGCTCATCGCAAGTGTCTGTTGTGAGATCACACATCACAGGGGTGTACGATTTGTTGTAATGGTCGGTGTGGGAATGCTGTGAGATCACAGCTCGCAGGGGCGGCGCAGACATGATCACACATCACAGGAGGTATATGTGCTACGCGCATCTGCCTGTGTGTGCAGGGAGATCGCACATCGTACCAACATGGTGGGATCACTCATCACAGGGGGTACGTTTCTTTTATATATGCGCATGGGAATGTGTATGTTGTGTGATCATTCATCCCCGCTTCCTGCTTTCATCGGCGTAAGTATGTTAATGCGATCACACATCGCAAGGGGTCGGTGGCATCGGCGTATGCATGTTTGTGAGCTCGCATCACAGGAGTACGATTTGTTCAGGGAATCGGCGACTGAGTGTCGTGAGATCACTCATTGCAACGATGGTTGCGGCTATCGACATTGGCATGTGTATGCCGTGAGATCACACATCTCAAGGGGGTCCGTCCTAACAAGGGCGTCGGCCTATGGATGTGGTGAGATCACACATCACATGGGGTACGATTTGTTTCGCCCAACGAAGAAAGGGCTATGCAACCGCTGTTACTGGGTCTGACCGACCCAGCGTACCTGCCAAGCTTCACTATCCGATGCTTGTTGATAGTCAGCCTTGAGTCCCAATAAACAATGATGAATTCAAAAGTTGTATTGCGTCTAAATGTTTTTTGCATCAAGTCCTTACACATGTTGATGTTGCTGCAAAAGTCTCATTAGGCTCCACAGTAAGTAAGAACCTCATCAGAATGGCAAAAAAGATGACAATGACAAAAAAGGGAAAACAGGAGATGACAACGGGTGCTACGGAAAAACTACATGCGTGTGTGTGTGTGTGACCACTCTCGAATCGGCAACAGGGAGAATGAAAGTTGCATTATGTCGCGTTATGGAAGATCTTGCATGACACTTGCAGGGGCGTCAAGCCCATCATACCTACTTGACACAACGAAGCTATGGTATGATGAGGGAATCATCGGTTGGCCACCGGTGTGTGCGTGTAAAGTTTGCCTGTGACATCTTCTTAATTGCCGAGCATGGTGCATACTCGCTGTTGCTGCTAGATTTGACTCAATCTACAACAGGATCGACGTCATCCCCGACGACAGTCTCCAACAATAAATTAGAACCCTCCAGTGTTTGTGTGTGTGTGTGTGTGCGTTTGGTTTGCAGATCACACATAAGAGGGGGTGCGATTCGTGGAACGGCCTCTGCGTGTTGTCAAACCTCGGGGTGCGCTGTTTTAAGGGCGTCGGCATCACAGGGGTGTTACGGGCGTTGGATCGGCGTGTGTATGTTGCGAGACACAGCATGTCTGCGCTGCTCGGTACAAAGGTTTCTCATGAGCATGGACCCGGAGACCAACCAGCTTTTTGAGCAAGTCGCCACCGTCGTGGCGTTGACCCAAGGTGCTTACAGAGCTCAGCATGAGCTTGCTCGGATCGGTGCATGATGCTGCGCATCTCAAGTTGCTGGGCATCACAGCCTACAGCGGCAAGGCCATCTCTGTAGATGCATGTATTTGACTGCATGCTGTTGGAGAGCCCGTCCAGGTAACCTATGACAAGTGGCAAGTGGATAAAAAGGAGGAGACTCGGCGCTCAAAGATGGTGGCCTGTGACGATTGGATGCCATGCTGCCGTGTTGCCTGGGCTTGCAGGAAGATGAACTGCGACGACAGAAGATCGCAAGAGCATTGAATCCAGATGGTTGGAGGCAGCTGGTTTTTATATGCATGGCATTTACTGTACCGGTTAGTCCAGTCTGCTGTTTTTTTTGCTGCTGCCATCTTGAGGCAAGAGCTTTTCCAGGAGGATGAACTGGAGCAGAGGAAGCAAGAACAGCAACAACCCAGCAACAAGGTCAAGGCTCAGCCCTCACTTTTGCGAGTTGAAGGAACGGCGTCCATACTTCGTGCAGTCCAGTCCATGTCAACCCCGAGGATGTTCTCAAAGAGATTTACAGCGCCGACGATCCAGATGGTCTTACAGATGGGCCTGGAGCTCGCTTAGCGTTGTGCGAGCCGCTGCTGTCGGCAGCATGTCTTGATGCAGGTTTGATGCATACGCTCGACCAGGCCCCGATGATCAACGTCAACACATTACCATCTGCACCCCGGACCCCCGCACTGCTTCAGGACGTGCCACAAGAGCCAAGGCTAAAGCAGGTGCATGCAGAAGCAAGAAGCAAGGAACCTTGAACAATTGCGCATGATGCAGGTCCGAAGCGAATTCGGAAGACCCGAGGACACTGGATGCTTCACGAGACTTCGTAGTTTACAGCGTGGCCTGCGATTGACAAACATCGACGATGTCTAGACTGTAGACTAGACACAGCCGAACAGCAAACATTCTGTATTCCACATAGTGCGAATAAGTCCGGAAGTCAGATTCTCATGATTCTGATGTGATGCAAGCTGAACTTGCACCCCATCCCCCCCGCAGAAACTTGAGTTTAAGGTTAGAGTTCCGGAAGACTTCCATTTGTGCTAAACCTTCTACCATCTTCCTCCTCAATATTCAATTCCATACCGCTGGCAAAGCCCTCGGCCGGAGCACACAACGCCATAACTCTAAGTTGTGCCCGCTGCACCCTGTTTAGATTGAGCATGGGGGAGCAAGGCTGTTCTTGTTAGCTTTTCCAGTAAGGGACTGCAGGAGCTCGATGAGATTCTCCCTGAGTGCAGCTTTGTGAGTGGCAAATTCCTATTGCTCCAGCAATGTCTGCTGTACAAAAGCCGATGCGCCTTATTTTCGTGGCGTTCTCCTTGCTTTTCGCGAGTTATTCTTGTTTCAGGCTTGGTTCTCTTGCTTTCGGGCTTGGGGGCTGGGGGCAGGCGGGGGGCGGGGCCTAATGACGGACGTGTGTCGAGAACTTTCATCAAAACGCCGCAGTTTGGTTTTTTGGCCCTTGGCATGATGCGATTTGTAAGCCTCTAAAAGTAACTTATAATCAACAGTACCTCGCCTGCCACGTAAAACATACTTTAATGCAGCCCAAATCACCAGTGAAAATAAAGTGCGTTAGTTACCCCGCAAAAAGCGTCAGGCATCAGAGACTCTCAAAGTGCCTTCTGTGCTGATCTCCATTTCTAGTGATCAAGGACTCGTGATAGTTACGGCCTGCAGTTGTATGCACCTCATGTTTGGCAGTCAATATGAACTACGTTGTGAAAACATTAGTTTCGCGCACGAAGACGAAGACGATGTTCCTTTGAAGCCGTGCTGGCACATATCCGCAGTAACCGTGGTTCACCTTACTTAGAACTGAGTATCTTAAGGGATTGCCTGCGTTCCTCGATGTGCATGACCAAGTTCCTTTCAGCGGACACTTCAGCTGTGGCACTTCATTTTCAGTTTGGTTTTGTTCAGTCCCGCTGCAACCGAAACATGTAGACCTCGGAAGGCTTGAGTAGAACAAGCAGCAGAGGGCTCCTTCGCTGGTTCGTAGATCTCCAGCATGTGCGACTGTGATCGAAGCCGGACTGGTAACAAAGCTACACCCGTGCAACATCCTAGAAGATCTGGAAGTGAGCGCAGAAGTGAGCGCAGCCGTTGTCGTTCAAGGAGTTGTCTCAAGCTGCCGCTGGCACCACTTTGTGTGCCAGCAGGTGCAATTCTGAGTTCCAAAATTCCTCGCCACTGAAGGTCAGAAATCTGTCAATGCGGCTCGTGATCTCAGCCCTTGACCATTTTGCTAGAACAAGCGCGCGAACTGCATTCAACTCACGTACCTGGTATTCTCGAGCGTCAACGCAGAAGTTTACCAGCAAGTCGGTGTTTGAAGGATGGGGAGCATCTGGGAGGCGTCTGCAGTGCGTCGACTGCCACGCTGGTGGTGAGCCTGCCCGTGTCGTTTTGGGAGGATTACCTGCAATTCCCGGGCGGAGCATGGTGGAGAAGCGGCTTCGCATGATGGAGCCAGACTTCGATGCTTTTCGAAAGTTGCTGTTGTTGGAACCCCGCGGGTATCCATGCCAGAATGCCAATTTCGTGATCCCGCCAACGGGATGTCACCCGACAGCCGCCTATGGAGTCATAATTGCGGAGCAGGGACATGTCTATCCGGCTATGAGCGGTCACAATCTGATGTGCGTCGCAACGGCTTTGCTAGAAACCGGCATGGTGCGAATGTTTGAACCGAGTACAGACTTCGACTTGGAGACGCCGGCCGGCCTGGTTTCTGTGAAGGCTGAGTGCAAACACGGGAAAGTCGTGCAGGTGACGCTCCGGAATGTCGCATCCTTTTGTAGACCAGCGGACATGGACCTTGAGATTGATGTTCCAGAGGTTGGAAAAGTGACCTTGGATGTTGCATATGGGGGCATGTTCTATGCCATAGTGGATGCCTCGACGCTGGGCTTGCAGTTGCTCTCGAAGCATGGACGGGAAATTTGCCGACTGGGCGAGATGATAAAGACGGCATGCAGAGAGCAGCATCCCGTCAACCATCCTGAGTTTGATTATCCCGGCTGCGACATCCTTGTCTTCACGGAAAACCAACGCAGAGAGGCCACCCAGACATGCCCGGATCCAAGTTGGCAGGAACGTCTCGTGAGTTCAAGTGAGTACATCAGAACCGCCCGGCTCTCCCTCATTCCCTCTCGCTCTCATTCCCTCCCTCTCCCTCTACCCCTCCCCTCTCCGTCTCCCTCTCCCTCTTCCCCTCCCTCCCCCTCCCCCTCCTTCGCCCTCTCCCTCTCCCTCTCCCTCTCCCCGTCTCTGTCTCCGGCTGCCGACCTCTTTCCTGTCTCCCTCCCCCTTCTCCCTCCCAGTCCCTGTCTCCGTGCGCCTCCTTGCATGACTTTGGCACCCCTTCATGTTGGATGGCAGGTCCACACACCACTCGCCTTTGCGGCAAGAATGCCGTTGTGATGTCCAATGGCAGTCTGAGATGGGACCGGCCGGAGACGTGGACAGGGATGCTCGACAGATCGCCCTGCGGCACCGGCACGTCTGCGGTCATGGCCCAGCTTCACGCCCGTGCCCTGCTTAGTTTGGGGTGCTCCATGGTGCTCCCGCCAGTGCAACACCAAGGATGCAGCGACTTTAAATGTTTTTAAGTGCTGCGAGGCAGTGGTGCCCGTAAGAGGGTGGAGAAGGACAAAAAGAGCGGGTGAATTTCCAAGACCAGTGGACGACTGGAAGGACCACTGTATTCAACACGTTAAAGAGTCTGGTGTGCAGTGTGCGTAGCACCCACAGGCAACGAGCTTGATAAAAGGGGAATCCAGTGCTGTTTAAACTTCTGCAAGCACTTTTCCGAACTCGGCTGTCCGCCACCGACGCGAACCAAGGTCACCACTTGGTAACTTGTGCCGACATCTACAATGTTCAGCCAGCTAAACTTCGCGCCTGCGTAGTCTGCCGTCTCCAGCACGTCCACTGAAACTGCGTGGTTGAACTCGTAGGGTGGCGGTGCTGAGACTGGGTGTGTGTGAACCTTCTCTTCACTCACCCTGCAAGACTCACACTGGAAGATCTTAGCTGCATTCACAGTTCCTCAGATGCACCCGCAAGAGTACCTCCTTGGGCTGGTGGGACATCATGGTGTGCAAACTAATTCCCAAGCGAACACGCCTCGGTACCATAGACCATGCCTTCCTTCTCCCTGACTCTTCCTTCTTTCAGAAACCCTGCTAAAGGCAACGTGTCTAAGAAGTCCGCTTCTTCGGCGGTTCTGCTAGTTCACACTCTACTGTTCCAAAAGGGGCATGCACCAAAGAGAGAGGCAATTCCTTTTGCTGCGACGGGCGGTAGAGTGCGAAGCAGTCACCAGGCTGTCTGTTAAAAAGCCCGGCGGATCGCCATAAATGGCGGATCGCCTGCTTCGGGCATTGCCTCCGCCGCTAAACACCAACGAACCAACAAGAACCAAACAAACACAAGCCAACCACAGGTGCCTCTCTTTGGTGGGTGTTACGAAACCCGAAAGCCGATCAGAAAAAAGCATGAAGCTCGCATCACAACTTTTCCAGGAAACGGCACCATGTCCTATTCTAACTATATGTTGGCTCCTACATGACGGTTTGAGGCGGATCTGGTAAACCCGGAGCCCAAATCCTAGTCTACACCTACTAGACCTTGAAGTAACCAGGGAGAAAAAGGTATAGACTTTAGTTTCATAATTGTTCCCTTAAGGAAGAGGTCCCAAAAAAGGTATTCAAGTATGGTACGCCAGAACTCAGCCTACATACTACCACGAGGGCCTCCGAGTTTAGGGCTTAAGGGTTTAGGGTTTAGGGGGGGTTTAGGGGGGTTTAGGGGGGTTTAGGGGGGTTTAGGGGTTGCTCGCGTCCTCGGCCCCCCTCTTCCCGGGCACGTGGGGGGGGACCAGGTCCAAGGAGGACTCGGTACACTTCCTGAACGCCGTCCTGCGGGTCGCCGGCCTGGCCACGACTTTCCTGG